GTCTTATTTGCAACAGATTGTAAGAGAGGGAGAAATGCTTAAGACTTCATACTGATGCGCTTATCCCATATGTAAACTGAAGACAATGTGTCATAGAGTCTTATAGTTTATTATTTTTGGAATAGCATTTTGAAAATGTATTTGTGCAACTGAAATGGAAAAAATAGGTCATTTGATATTGAATGATGTTCTCCCGACACTCCCCCCCCTTTTGTTAATACTGAGGATTACAGCAGGCAAAGTATATGAATGCTTCTTTTCTGTTAGATTACTGGAACTACTGTAGCATAGCCATATGCAAAAATGATTAAAGTGCAGATTAACCTTTCAAGAGTGGAGTATTGCGTCTGTTCTCTGTGTCACTGTATGTATATACTTGCTGGTTCAGGTCGACATTATGCAGCACATAGATCAAAATACATTTTTCCACCCCAATATATTGTGTAACTAATTAAAGTGTGACCTAAATCCAGCATAATGCTAGCAGAGTGAAAATTGCCATGTGCATTTGTGCTGGATTAGACACTTGTGAAACCCAGCTATACAACAAAACTACACTGGATACTATGTTTGTACTAACTGTTACATGTGTAGTTGTTAGTGGATCATATGCCAGTATGGCGATATAATTGGATAGAAGCATATTTTTAGAGGTCGCTTCTGGCTGAAATCTTGTTTGTCTAAAGTTACACCATGTAAGGCAGATGATGCCAGTATTTCACGAAGGGAGGATTTAATTTAAAATAATTAAAAGTTATCTATCACCTCTTTTGGGGTTCTGAGGCTCCCTATGGCTGCCCCTTGCCCTGGAGAAGATTGAGGGAGCCTTGGGAGAGCCTTTAACAGCCAAGAATTACCACCATATTGGGGCTGGTGGGATTGGAACAACTGGCAGTAATCCAATGGCAAATTTTGGCTATTAAAATCTCCCCTCCCCTCCACCCATTTTATAAAGAAAGTATTTTGGTGTTTAGGGTTACATTCCTAACTTTGTCTTTTTGCAATGTAAAATGGGAATAATACACATTGCTTTATATTATAACTGCAATAGCAAATGCACTCCTCTAGTGAGTATGTCATGAAACAGATTAAAACTTTGTGATCAGGAAAAAAGAAAGAATATGTACATACCTGCTGTAATTGTGAATAGCTGCTGCTTCTTTTTAGAAGTACCATTTCTGAATGTGAGGCTGTTTTTGGTTTTTCAGTGATGGCACCACATGACAGAAGGTCCGAAACAGTTTTTATACTTTTATTTGGTACAGCACTGATGAGAACTGCACTAGTGAGAACAATCAAAAGAGTTTGAACAAGCAAATATCCATAGGAATCTAGAATGAAAATACTTACTGTATGTGCTTCACGGGGAAAGCACAGTGGATTCCCCTCTGTTGGTTATTTTCTTTTCATACAAACGTAAGCATAACTTTCTAGTGATGGTGAGAATAACTCTTGTGCAATTTTTTTGCTTCATTTCACAATAGGTAGAGTTTTTGAACTCAATAGTCACATATAACTCAACATGTCCAACAGTTTAGCTCTCCTGAAAAATAAGGGGGTGAGGCAAACAGGAAGTGCTCTCAAGATGTCGTTGCACACAGGTACGGGAAGGAATAAGTACTATTAGATAAGACTCTGTTGTCTGAATAAAAAGAGACCCAATTTAAATGAAGGGGATAAGTGTCTGAACCACACTAAAACTGAAAAGAATTGGGTCTTCCCTTCAGCACTGTGACAGGACCTTGGCATACAGTGGGGTCTTGACTTGAGAACTTAATCCGTATTGGAAGGCGGTCCTCAAGTCAAAAAGTCTGTAAGTCAAGTCTCCATTGGCCTACAGTGCATTGAAAACCGATTAATCCCGTAACAGGCCGTTTTTGTTCCATTTTGGTTTTTTTTCTGGTCTGTAAGTCAAATCTCAGTCTGCAAGTCAAACATAAATTTTGCAGCCAGAGAAGTCTGTAAATCAAAAAGTCTGTAAGTCAAGCCGTCTGTAAGTCAAGGGTCCACTGTAATAACAAAAGGATTTTGGCTCAAAGTAGGAGAAAGTTAACAAACACTGTAACAACTTACTGTACATGAATAATGAATTGGTATACTACATTGCTTCTCTATTCTCAGTGGAAGGGGCAATTTCTACCAATTCCTCCTACCACCTGGCATCCACTATCATTTCCAAGGGTTCTCCAAACTCTAAGAATAGGTTTACTGACAGGAGGAGAAAGTCTTCAGTTGCCAAAAATCTCTCGCTGTTGCCAACATTATATGGCGGCAGAGATTTTCAGTAATTAAATATTTCCCCCTTCAGTCCCATAGCTTCCATGTGCCAAAATGGACTGCTCATAAATTGGACAAGCATTGGGGTGGAAGAAGAAGGTCTTTAGTAAGAGAAAAATACCTGAAAGTGATATCATCCTTCTAAAGTGTAATTTACACAATAAGATTTTGGCCATTGATTTTAGCAATAACAACAAAAGGGTATTGAATTGTCTAAAAGAAATGTTTTGTGGTTGAAAAGACACTGTTCTGTTGACATGTTTGGAGTTCTGATTTATCTTACTGTTTACGAAAGTCTGTTCTGTAGATCTACAGACCTTTGTGGGGGGGGAAATAAATGCACGAGTCATTCCATATAGATAAGAATATATTTTTAAAAAGGGAATTAAATGGCATGTTTCTCAGGTTAGAAAGCTAGAAACATCCAAGGATATGAATCTAGTCTTGTTGCATTTAATATTATTATTATTGTTTTAGCTAAACAAATCATTCTAAACCATTTGTAGGGCATTTGTATATTGTGAAATAATATTGCAGCCAGACACTTAAATAATATAGACTTTTTGGTTATTTTTATTTTAACACTATAATTGCCTTTCACTTATTACAATATGACTGTCTAGTGCAGTACCTAGAAATCGCAAAACATTTTCAGATACAATAAGTAGCTCTGTTTCT